AGTTTCAAACTTGAGACGCCTTTATTTCAGAACTGTTCATACTACTGGGGATTTGCTGGCTTTATTGCTTACTTTGTCAACCATCCTGCGTATACTCCTCCGTACTTTGGCGACAAGCAAGTGTACTTCGGTCTTGTAGGATTTGCCATTTCTGAATTCGGTGAGCCTTTCAAATAATCAATTCCATTTTGATGAGGATAACTATCTAGCGTGCAGGTTTACCAACCGATTGTTCCCCGATCAGTTATCAATATCTTTTCATTCTGCGGTAAACTTTATGGTACTTTTAGGAAATCTCTCCATTCATATTTTACTCCGCAATCTTCGTCCTCCCGGAACTCGTGAACGCCGTATTCCCCGTCCAGATGGAAATCCACTGAGCTTGCTTTTCAACTTCGTTTCGTGTCCCAATTATACGTACGAAGCATTGTCATGGCTATCGTTCTCCATCATGGTGCAGAGTTTTCCAAGTGAGTTATCTTCATTATAGCGAATTTTCATACGCGCTAGTTTAAACTTCAAAAATCTTTCCTTGTTCTGGCCTAATATTCCATTTATGTTGGCTGAAACATAATATAATAGATTGTTCGGAGTGTATTGGAAGGAGAGCTGAACTAATCGCGCTTTGAAACCCAAATTACTTTTCACTTTTTTAACGGGGACCTATTGTAAAACTTTACTGATACGATTTCATATTTTCCTCTGGTGATCATTAAGCCGTTTCGCTGAAACCCTGATAGTCATCGCATGTATTCACATACCGGTCATGTTCAAAGGAAAACGTGCGGTGTGGGCACGCACCCAGATTATGGTTGAAGTTTGGTACTAGCAGGCTTCCTCGACTACTTCCGAGTATGTCTCTAGATTCTCATGTTGTTGTAGTGTCAAAAGTATCCTTACAACATGAAATTGTGGAACTACTAACTAAAACGTGATCAGCAAAAAGTTGATCAATTCGACAAGTGCATCGTTGGTGATGACGATGTTTACTGGGACGCGACAACGCGTTACTTTTTTATCTAATACAAAGAAATCGAACATGATGAACATTTTTGATGTTTTCTCAGAATATGGATTACCACTTTTGCATCCCGGGAGCTTCCTCCGTGCTTAGTTCTATTTATGAGGTCTTGTGGAAGACGTGTGTATGCGCAGAGAGGATGTTTTTCGTGAGAGGGCTCTATCGAATCATGACATCACATTGGAATAAGCTTCAGTACTGACTTAGAACCCGGTTCTGTAGACGGTTGGCTCCTCTCTTCCCTTCAGTGCTCAATGAGTGTTTATGTAGCCATTAGAGGTGTTATCACAATGGTGCCATTAGAGGTGTTATTACAATGGGCGGAAGTGGTGTAGTGGCAAGTGGCACGCTTACCACGCGAGCGGTCCGGGGATCAAATCCTGGGTCGTGAGTCGCCCGGGCCAACCAAGCCTTCCATCCCTCCGGGGTCGGTTAATTGGTACCAGACTTGTCTGGGAGGATAAAAACACTGACTTGTACATCGGCTGGCCCCCGCAAGTCATTGTATAGGCCACATCGCATTCAAACGCCACTACGAATGTACAAATGGAAGTAGAATGCGTGCCGCATCCCAAAAAGGGATTGATCAACGGCAAATGCTTTATCCTTTATTTTATACATCCATGTATATATTCGTATTGAACAAGGTGTCTTTCCTGCGCGAAAGTGAAATTCTAGAGATTAGCGTGAACTGCAGTGAGGATTTGAAATGAATGGCACCCCTCAAAAAAACCACGCAACATTTCCGGGGTATGGAAAACCTGAACAGTTTATTCGCTGCACCTATAGCGCTCACAGAGCACTTCCTGCCGCGGAAGCGTCACGCATCGTCTTCTACCTCCTATACTCTTCTCTCGAATATCCAGTTTCTCTTCATCAACGCCGCATCTTTTTCGCAAATTATCTTTATTTTCTACTGCTACCTTGGATCATCACCGTTCATTAGATCCAGAGTTTTTTTTGGATTAGTTAAGGATTCATTCAATGGGTTACATCTTGAGGCGGAAAGGAGCATATTCTCATCCCGTTTTTCAAGTCACCGAATTCTTGCTCTTTTTTTATTTTATCTAAATTGTGCAGCGGCGAAATACCACTGGTTATAAGAAACTAAAACCTTCCGTTCGAATGTAGAATGAGGAACCATACTATACGTCAGGCTGACACCCGCATAGTTTCCTAGCACGAATGTCGGCGACATTACTTCCATAGTTTCTGAAAAAGGCGGTGGACCTCTCACGTTATTGGAAAAGAATCAATGAACGACCAACCCCATCTGAGGACAACAACGCCTACTAGTCTTTGAGCCATTAACTTACTCTTGCTCTTTTATGCAAGAGTAAGGGAGTTACGGGGGTCGGGGGGACGTTATAGGCTCAAGACTTCTGTATACTTTTCAAGATTATCGCCTCACTGTTGACCTGACTAGCGACGACGCGCCGCTAATGAGTTCTTTTGGCAAATTATATGGAGTCTGGAAACATAACTAGGTCTCTGAGTTCCAATGTAACATCTTTTGGCATTAATCGAACTGAGTTTAGCGTTGCAAAAACTCTGAAGTAATTCACAAGTGTCATGAATAAAACTTATGTCAGGTGGGACTCCGCTTACCGGGCAAGTGCGCTACAACTTACACTCCATGCCATTTCACTTTTCTCAAGCTTTGTCAAAATCAAAAAACATTTCTAAAATAAATCTACTTCCGAGAGAGAAATAGCGCAACAATTATGACGAATGATGGCGAGTGCTTGGGATGAGATTAGAGGTATCCAATTAGCATTTCAAAATAAGACATGGTCGTGGTGGCCGATTAGAAAAAAAAACATGAAAGACGGCATACAAAGACAATAAGTAACCTCCCTTGATTGCCTACTGATTCTCCGCCTGCAGCAACATCCATCGATCTGCCTCTTCCAACGGCCTAACGCTCTCCTGCTGAAGCTGGACCTCGACAAGTGTTAGTCTAGACGAGGTCGTACGACGATAGCGCAGCGCGAGAGCATGCTATGTCACGGAGCCATACTCAGTATATCGCTCGGGCTTGTACGTGTCGTTCTATCATCCCGAGAATCCCTCCTTCCCTAGCAATTTCTCCTTCTTCGACCGTGTCGTAAATCCTCTAACTTCTCGCGAAACCGTTTGCGACTATCACACACTACTTTCAATCCAAATCGCACATGTACAACCGACCGACTAATCCGTAATTAGTTTCCACAAATTCTGAGCAGTATTCCTCCGACATTATGTGCATTGGCCTTTCGAATGATTCCCGCCATGGAAGGTTGTGTGGAGGTTGTTGTCCTATTCCGCAAAGCTTTGAATTTTTAAGTCTGGTTATTGCGATAGTTTTTTTTTTCGACTCCCTGAGCAGCGAAAGGAAACGAGTGATCACGAGATAAGAAGCCACCATGATGTCTTCTGACCAGCAAGGGGAAGCTGGCTCGACCAGTTTCTTTTTTTTTCCAGGGCCTGTTCTTTACCCATACTGTTTGTTTTTTTGTGTTTATGCGCTTTTTTGATGAAGAAGGGTTTCTTTTTCAGGTCTCCTGTTCACAATCGCTGGATTTGCACAGATGACGATTTGGGCGAAAAACAAACATCGTGCGTACAAGAAGGAGTTTCCCGATTACCCAAAGGAGCGAAAAGCGATTGTACCCTTCCTTATTTGAGAGGATGTTCGTTTGTTTGTGCTTGTGAACGCTTCTCTATTGCCCTCTTCTTGCACCACTGATCACTGGAATTATTCATGCTTCTGCTTGTTTTTCCTGTGTGCACTTATTAGATTCGGTTGTACTTCACCGGTGTTACAGCAGTGCGTTTGAATCCACCAAACACTTTTAATTTATTATATTTCGTTTCGTGTTTTTGTTGACTTATATATGATAAATTTGTTAGCGCAAATCCATTCTCGATGTAGAACAGAATTCTGGTTGTAACCCAGTTGGAATACAGCAACGAAAGTCTTGTTTTGCATCATACAGCAAGGGCCTGTTTTCCGCAAGTGTGTTAATGGTCAGGGTCAAACTTCTGTTGTGCCACAGTTTAGCGCCAGGTCGCAATCAACCAACACCAAGTGGGAGGGCGGGTCGGAATAGGCGTAAGACAGGAGCCAGGGACAGAATTCAAAGGTTACACATGATAGTGGAGAACAGCTTTTTTTTTCAACAGATCGACGACAGTGCAATTTATGACCCTTTTGGTTGTGGATTTTAAGTGGAGGCTTCACAAGGCATGAGTGGCGCAAAATAATTTCAACAATATTCAATGGCCGAGTGCATCCTGTTAATAATTTGAACGTCGACCGAAGGCGGGTAACTGCGCGAGATTGGGTTTGGGATTTGATGTATTTGAATAGTAATTGCTGCTTTGGAGTTAAAGCATTTATCTTGCCTCTGCTTCTAATTCAACTAGCGGTAATCTCACCCGCCCACCGCAAGGTCGCTTTTCTTCTTGACGCAGGCAACCCCACCCGTGTTGCTAGGACAACGGGGGTCGACTTGGTAGTTTGTCAGAAGGGGGGTCCGTATAGGTCTGGGAGCTTTGGACGCATGGGAGAAAATCCCTACCCCGGCTAGGACATGAGTAGTGGATATAGTAAAAATGGGGAGAAGTAGGTAAATTGGTTGGAATTAGGAATTTAGGGGTAACTATTAACTGTTTCATAGGCCTATAGTGAGGCTATATACCCCCTCGAGCGGCAATTATTATGGAGGGAACAAGTGGGCCGGAGTTTTCGTGGTTAGTGCCGCAGAATTGGAAGTGTGGCGGATAAAGGGTCGTGCTCAAACCCACCTTGAGGGAGGCGGGGGTTGTAGAAAGAAAACATCTTGAAAAAAGTAACCAACGAGTAGCGACTCGACCCTGCTTGGAGCGTCATCCATGACCCTGGGTTTCGAAGTTTAGCGCTTTGCGGGTTAATCTTGTAGCCCCCTCTGTATGTGCAAGTACGATCGCAGCCACTGCTCTTGAGGTGTCACTAAACAGGGGCAGCTCATCGACACGACCCGACGTCCTCATTCCTAGCCCTGCCTGTCGCGTAGCATCCAACCGCATGCCGATCTCAGCATCCTCCTTCAAGCGAGCCTAAGTTGCCTCGCACGATTCGCCCTGAGCCAGGCAGCACTCGCTGCCGTTGCAGCATCGCTGGTAATTGCCAGCAGGGTCCACGCCGACTGTACGAGGAATAAATTTGAATAGCGACCCCCCCCCTCCTCTCCCCATATCCAGAGCCAACCTATGAACGGCCCTCTTCAAAGGCCGAACTATGAAAAGGTTGCTTAGTTCCTCCCTTTCAAACGTACATCAAACAAAGCCCCCTGCTTTCCCAACCCTCAGCCAAAGAAATCAGTTCTGAGTAAGATCAACGTAGCAAAAGTAGAGGAATAACGATACAAGAGAAGTAAAGAACACATGAGGCTAGCCAAACCAATGCACGCAGCAACGAGAAAAGGCAAGGGAGGCCAACAAAAAAGCCGACAAACTGTCAACTAACAGCTAAGGCATACAAATATGCATGCATCTCTGTGCCTTTACTTTCAAACTTTACCCTACAGGAAGACTCACCAACATGTTAAGTCACCTCAAATTAGCCATGGTTTTCAATAAACACTCGACTTTCCGGCTGAAAGACGCCTTACCGCGCGGCGTAGCCACTACTGTGGATTGCTTTGAACTTCTGCGTTGCCGCTCAGAGAATCTATTAGCTAATTAGAATATTTGAACAAAAGTTATTCAAATGTTTAGCCTGTTCACGTGAACCGAAAATTTTCGAATCTCCAATGGAGGAGAAAGACTTTGATTCTTGCGTAAAAAAGAGTTCTTCAGTATGGAAATCAGAAAAAACGAAATTTTATGAGAAATAACAAATTTAGATCAATTAACGAGGAAAATTCGATGACGAGCACGAGTTTTTACACTTTCCGAAGCAATAACTTGCTTCATTTTCGTCAAATTCGAAAAGTTAATACGGCATACAAAACTAGAAGATTTTCTCTATCAAACGGTCGCTAAAGCAGCTTCATACGTCCAGTACTCAAAAAATGGCCACGTTGAGGATTTTTGCAAAATTAACGAGGAAAATTCGTGACGAGTGCGAGTTTAAAGCTATACGTCATCATAAACTCGAAGATTTGCTCTATTCAACGGTAATCTAGAACTGCTACAATATGTCCACTATTTAAAAAATGGCTACGTTCGAGGATTTTTGCCCGAGTACCGCCGAAAGGTACTTTTTCGCTGCATTGGCACTATTTCAACGACTATAGCTCCTTTCAGGGCGATTATATACTGAAGTAGGAGCAGATTCAAAATCCTCGTGCTTTTCTCTCTGCAAAAAGTGTAAAATTGTTTAGCGGGTCTCAACTTTAAAGGTTACATGCTTGTGAATTTGACGCTGAAGGCTGCGTTTCTTGTTGAATAGTGTACTCCTCTCTGTAATTTAACATGAACTCTTTCAGAATCCTCTTGATTTTTTCTGAATTGAGATTCTTTCTCCAGAGAGCCGTAGTTGAAGCGCGCGCAACCAACTGGGCCCACTCTGGGATGCGCCGTGTGCTTCACATCCCTTCAGATTCGAGGACTCACTTGAAAGATAAAATATCCCTTGGAAAACGTGCGAATTATTTGGAAATTCTTGTGTGGTGATAAAACACTGAAGTAACTAAGAATTCACTACGCGACACGCCTCAGTAGAATCACGAAGATTTTACATTGGGGGGAATACGATGATCCTACTGCATCAATCGGCCCGATCTCTTCCTCCCAGCGGGCCAATACGACCCCCCCCCCCCTGTGACGTGTCGAGGATTCCTCAACGCACGCTTGACCCTGATTGCCAGCGCACCTCGCTCTTGAGATCTCGGAACATAGCTGGTTGCAGAAAATGCCACTGGTTTACCCGACTTCAGCCACGCTGTGATTGTCCACGCCTATATTGCCTAGTCGCAAAATCGCTCCCCGAAATTGGAGGTCTACCTTTCTTTTTCTCCTTCACCTCGATACCTTATTGCGTTTTTACTATCCTCGGAGCCCATAAACTTGATCTTCTTCACATTCCACGGACCCACCTTCTGCCAGGACCTTCCTGCCATTCTGCACCTTGGCCTGTAGTTCTTCTCTGCTATCCGCTATCAGGGCGATGTCGTCAGCGTAGAGGATGGTCTTTCAGTGGTCCTTCCATGAGCCCCTTCACCATGACATCTAGTGTTAGTCGAAGAAGAACTAACTCTATGTTGGTCGTTGGTGTAGCCCAATCGTGGATTTACAACCCTAATTGGGCAAACTGAGGTGCATACACCTCCACTCCGTACATGTTGTTCACCAGAAAAATCAAATGTCGGTTACATTATATTCTCAGGAAAGAGAGAGAGCATTGACCGAGGTAGACAGCTGAACGCTTTCTTCAGGTCAGGAAGGCTAGGTAGCAGGGTCGGCGCTTTCTCGATACTTCTCCATCACTTGCCTTGCGATGAAGATGGCATCCGTTGTAGACCTTTCGGGCATGAACCCGAACTGTTTCTGGGAGTCCTGGGAGATCGAGATTGGCTCCTGCAGCGTCGTGTCGACCAACCGCTCGGACAGCTTCATAGCATACACAGTCAACTTACAAGGGAGGTCTTTCAGGGCAAGCCACGCTTTTTCAAAACGGTTTCTTGCATATTGTAGGGATGCATGTAGGGAACACAAAACCATGTTTCATTTTCGCATTTTCGCTTTCGGTTTTAGCAGTACCAAAAAGAAGCATAAGGTAC